GATGCCTTTTCCTACGCAAAGTACATCTTACAAAACATGGACGTATATAGGGCTAACTACTACTTTAGTGAGAACAGTTAATAATGTATGCCATTTCATAAGTAAACAATATGTTTTAGCATAAAAAGTGCATATACCAAATAAAGGCATTTTTAACTGAAAGTGAATATTATGATACATTTTTTGTGGGCTTTGTTTAAATTTGAGACCTTTTTCGCAATTTCTCTGTGAAAAGAATAAAGTAGTAAAGACTTTTTAGGCCTCAACACAACAGTACTATCCAAGTAATAACTGAATGCATTATAGGTCTTAAAATGAGGAAATTAAGCTTTTTTTGTGCTTCTACAGTGTCTTCGAGTTATTTCATAACTGAGCAAGAGAGAGAACGTGCCACTGTGAGGGGGTGGGGACAGCTGTCTCCTGTCTCGGGTGTTGTGATGTAGCTTCTTTCCTTTTAGAACCTGAAACCCCAATCAAGCACCGCAGCTGCCCAATGAGATTCAAGCATGCATGAGCCGAGCAACCAATGGGCAGCAAACATCGAAGTATATAAACCAAGGTCTGACATCTTGCAAAGCTGGGCAACCCCTACATTGGCTTGGTGAACAGGATCTGATCCCAAGGACTGTTACATTTTCTCCCATACAGGTAAACTCCGCTACTGTTCAGAGATTTTACAAGGGTGGGAATAAGGGGTATTTGATGAAACATGAAAAACTTCAGCAAAAAAAGACGTAATACATTGCAGCTTTATGTGCCAAAATATTCCCCATGCAAATTAATGAAACCTCATTGGGGTTAATGACCAGATCCCAGATGCACAATATCTGGATTCTTCTTGAATTACTCTCTTGATTGTTGGAGTATTAGACATGCTCAGTTTCATATTTTTAAAGTTGCTTTTCTCATGGCAGACCTGTAGAAAGCTTGTCATTGCCTGATAAGCTTCAAAGAGTCCTAATGCATTGGAAAGCTATTAAATAGGCAGTCTGGAGTAGATTGCGGTCTATGGCAGGAATGATCTGTGTGTGCGCTGGACACCTGCTGTAATTCGGTGCAAGGTCATGTCATCTGGGGGAATTTATAGCTGATGTATTTTACTTAATCTATTTATACTTCAGATATTGCATTCTTTTTGTATGAATGCAACTGCATGCAAAAGCTATGAATATGTGGAAAAATAGATTAGGATGATTGATTACTCCTAAACTGTAAGCGTTTGATATTTCTAATATTTTGCTAATTACATTTTGCAAATGCTAAATTGACATGGGCATAATACCAATTATGGGATTGAGTGTGCATGCTCCACCCTCAGCAGAAATTAGAGAGGTGAATGTGCTATCTGCTTTGAGTGATGGGAGTGAGTTTGGCACCCATGCTAAAAATATCACCAGCTGTCTGATGCATATAAGCATTCAAGCTATTCAACCACCACTCCATGTAGAAATATGAGGTGCTGGTTAGACATAGCACCATATTTTGTTACTAGGAGACTGAAGTTTACTTGGGACACAAAATATAGTATGCATTAAACTTGTCTGCAATTGCTGGCATTTTAATCTGGAAACTAGCGCTGCTTATCTTTGACCTAACGCAAATGGGTAGTTGGTCATAATTCTCTGTTTCAATGTCAGCATTGAGAGACGCTGGTTCCCCTTCTTTCTTGGGTCCAATGAGTAAGCTACACTTTAGTAGGCCTGGGACAATGCTCCTGGTTTTCCACCCTAACAACGGCTCTGCAGACAAGATTTGCAGACTTATCTAAGTCTCCAAAGCACATAGTAAGTACTTTGGCAACTTACCTTACTACTTGTCTATCAGCAGATCGCCGGAAAAGTGCAATCATGACTAAGAACTGCAACAACGATTACAAGATGAAGTTCTCTCTGGAGGAGGAGTACCCTGACCTCTCCCAGCACAACAACCACATGGCCAAGGTCCTGACTAAGGACATCTACAACAAGCTCAGGAGCAAGTCAACCCCCAGTGGATTCACCCTGGATGACTGCATCCAGACCGGTGTGGACAACCCTGGTTAGTAGAACATGTCTGAATACATTCCCCCATAGTGGCCGATCTCTCGAGATACCACAAGCAATGTTTTAGTTAGAAGATACATAAAGCACTACCTTTTAATCCCAATTCTAGGCCATCCCTTCATCATGACCGTCGGCTGTGTGGCTGGTGATGAGGAGTCCTACGAAGTCTTCAAGGAATTGTTTGACCCCATCATTTCTGACCGTCACAGTGGCTACAAGCCCACCGACAAGCACAGTACTGATCTGAACTGGGAGAACCTGAAGGTATGCTAAAGTTCTTTACATTATCATGGTGGTTTTAATCTACTGTGGCTGATGTTTACCTGTGCGCAGGGTGGTGATGACCTTGACCCCAACTACGTTCAGAGCAGCCGTGTGCGTACCGGCCGCAGCATCAAGGGAATCACCCTGCCTACCACCAACAGCCGTGGTGAGCGTAGAACTGTGGAGAAGCTGTCCATTGAGGGTGAGTCTCACTGACATTATGCCCTGACATCCACAAAGCAACATGCATGGTCTTACTGATGTTTCTCTCACAGCTCTGAACAGCCTGGATGGCGAGTTCAAGGGCAAGTACTACCCTCTGAAGGACATGACTGACAAGGAACAGGAGCAGCTCATTGCTGACCACTTCCTGTTTGACAAACCTGTGTCCCCCCTGCTGTTGGCTGCTGGCATGGCTCGCGACTGGCCTGACGCAAGAGGCATCTGGCACAATGACAACAAGACCTTCCTGGTGTGGGTGAACGAGGAGGATCACCTGCGTGTCATCTCCATGCAGAAGGGCGGCAACATGAAGGAGGTCTTCAAGAGGTTCTGCGTTGGGCTGCAGAAGGTAAACCCCATTACTTTTAATCCTTTGGTCATCTACTGCAAAGATAAGCAACCAAAGGCCTGACCCCTTGTTGTATATTGCAGATTGAGGAAGTCTTCAAGAAGCATAACCACGGTTTCATGTGGAACGAGCATCTTGGTTTCATCCTGACCTGCCCCTCTAACTTGGGTACCGGCCTGCGTGGTGGTGTCCACGTCAAGCTGCCCAAACTCAGCACACATGCCAAATTTGAGGAGATCCTGACCAGACTGCGTCTTCAGAAGCGTGGCACAGGTGGGTTTGAAATCGCTGAACGTATAAAATGGCAGAGAGTTACACTGTGATCATAATTTTGAGAGACTCTTTGTGCTTCTATTATGCAGGTGGTGTGGATACTGCCTCTGTTGGTGGTGTGTTTGACATCTCCAACGCTGACCGTCTGGGCTCCTCCGAGGTGCAGCAGGTGCAGATGGTGGTCGATGGTGTGAAGCTCATGGTTGAAATGGAAAAGAAACTGGAGAAGGGCGAGTCCATCGATGGCATGATCCCTGCCCAGAAGTAAAATGGCAAAAGTGCTTTTCTTTTTTTATTTGTTCTTTTAAGCAGTCATGCCATCTTGACTTTTCCAAGAGACACTCCACCCTGCTCCCTTTTTTCCTACTTTTTTCTTTTTCCTTTCTTTCCTGCCATCTCCTTTTTCCTGCACTTTTCCTCCTTATCTTCCTGTAACATCCTGGGATCAAACCTCCACATAGCTAGAAAACCCTAGCTATGTTGTATTCACCTAAACCTTTTTTTTGGTTGTACAAAGTTAATAAACGGCCCCATGTAACAATCAACCTGTGTTTTAAGTCTTTACATTCTTGATAAGTCTCTATTTGTACCTACAGACACAGCTGTGAACTTAACGTTGCTGAACATCAAAACATAATTTGAACTTTATGCACACTTTCATGAATACAGTCAGCTAAGCTGACCCAAAAGTCATTTTGAACACTAAAATAGCAGTAATTTGTGCAGAATAGCACAATGACAGTCAACAATAGTTCAAGCATGGTTTGTCATTTCTTTCAGTTAGTATGAAGCCAGATCACGTTTGTTTGAATTATAACAAGTTAGAATATTTGCAAATCTTACACAATATATATTCAACTTGTAATGCAATAAATTAATAGAATAATTTATTGCATTACAATAATTACTCGAATGAATAACACACTTATAGAAAAAGAGCAAATTGGAAAGTGTGATTTGAAAAGCACACATACACTAATCCAAATAGGTTCATACCTGTATATCTGGTTTAGAGCTACCAAATGAATATGATTTGGCTTCCAAAAATAAAAGAATTAATTACTCTAGATAATAAGATCTCTATTGTCAAGTATTCCTTATATATTTCCAATATATTTCCTTAAAACTTGCATTAAGCAAATATCTTATAAATTTTGAACAGAACAAAATTAACAGACAGACAAATCACTGAATTTCAGACAAATGTATTAATCATTCTTGCATTTTCTCACATTGCACAGCTCAAACATATTCCAATCTTGACGATGAGGACTTGCGATGTCAAATCAGAGATAAAGTCAACAGTCTGTTTGTGGCCATTCAGCAGAGTGCACTTCTGGCAAGATAACAGAGGTTTCTCATCAGCGTAACAAATACAAGAGCAACACAAAGAGCATTGTGTCTCGACTTGGCTCAATAAATTGCACCATTTGAAGGGAGAACTGCTTTTAAACAGGTGATGTTGCTCACTCAGCCCTAAAGTGCTACGGTGTGACCATATAATATGACGAATCTCAAAACAAGGAGGCTCAGGAAAGCAGACATCACCTACTCAACCTGCATCACTGGCAAGTTTGACGACCAACAAGATCATTAAAAAATTAGGAGAAAACGCTATCACTTTAAGCACTTGCATTGTCAGCGGCTCCGCATGTTGTTTACGGTTCGAAATGGTGTGGCTTTCACATGTGTTTTTTGTGAATATGGTTATTTAAACGAGGATAAAATTAAACATACTCTTCTCGCCGGGACAGCGGAAGATTAGAAATCAAAAAAATTGTTAAATAGCAGCAGTTAAAAGGAATGACAATGTACAGAGTGAACACGTGACAAAAAAATGGGTGTTAAAAAACAAGATGGCTAAGATACCAGGTAAAATCAGCGGTAAAACAGGCCTGGTAAAGGGAGTTCCTTCAGCAGGTGCCCAGTTCTCAATGTATGTGTGCCAGTCTTTGTAGGCTTAGAGGGGGCGGGTCTACGTCCATTCATCCCATCTTTCTGTCCCATGCTTTTGTCCCTGATCTCCACCCCCTCTTGCCCTCAGAGTTCCAGTTCTTTGGACACTTTGGTGGCGATGTCCCGAAAGGCAAGCGGAGCCCCCCACAGGCGCTTAAATCGAACACCGCTGGTCTCGGCGGGGCCGTTGGGCAGCTGGCACACCTCCGCTTCGAAGGCAACACGGGAGCCGGCGGCTCCGTGGGTGCAGGAGAGGAGGAAGGGCCCGGCCTGGTGGACCTGGCAACCGCAGCCCTGCGCCGCCTCCCGCAGAGCCAGAACCACCTCGGCCGGGTCCCGCGGGCTCCGCACCTTCACATCCCAGCCGCATCGGGGGGTCCGGGGCTCTGTCGCTTTTTGATACCCAGATAGATAGCGACTGTGGAGGGAGGAGGAGGTGAAATGGGAGGTGGGCGGTGACGTGAATGTGTGGGTGGGGGAGGTGGGGTACAAGAGAAAAATATATTAGAAATATGTAAGAGCAAAAATGTTCACTTCATAGAAACGGAGTAAACTGTGTGGACTACTAGTCTGTGATATTATTTAAAAAGGTAACACTTTGTAGTAAAGTTCTAATTGTTGACATTAGGTAGAGCATTGGGCAACACCAATTAACAAGAACCACCTTTTAATTCTTTTACATTTAATAATCTAGATTAATGTTAATTTTTTATATATACTATTGTTTATTGATAATTCATGTCAGTTAATATTACATTGAAACTAATTTTTTTTTAATTAAAACTGTGTGAGAAGACATTAACATTAATTTAGATTAATAACTGCTTTAATCATTGCTTGTTAGTTTATGATATGTAATATGGTAAAGGGATAGTTCACCCAAAAATGAAAATCCAAGATGTAGGTGAAACACAAACGAAGATTTTTAACAAAAACCTTTGCAGTCTGTCATACTTATAATGGAGGTGAATGGGAATCACGGCTAAAACATACAATAAAACAATTTTTTTTTTTATTATTAAAAATACATTTGAAAATAAAAATGTGTGGATCGCAGACTTATAAGAAGAAGACCTCACGCCCTGCTGTTGAGTAGTGATGGGAAGTTCGGATCATTTGACTGACTCGGACTTTTGAGTCTCGTTCAGCAAAATGAACGAATCTTTTTTTCGAGTCATTTCGTTCATTTTAACAAAATATAATTAAAATGTTACGTGTTACTTCCCTAATATGTCTACTACTTACGCAAACGTTGATCACACTACAAACAATACAAAACTGCTATAAGAAACAGAAAAGATTAATTCATTGTTTACCTGGGTCTTCAGTCTATGATTAGCTCACCTCACCTCTTATCTGACAAGTCTTCGGGTTTGGGCTTATGGGGCTGTCACGTGATGAACGAACGACTCGGAAAAACCCGAAGACTCGAAACAGGTGAACTATTTGACTAATTCCAGTACAGAACCTATAGGATATTGCGCATGCGCGACTGAACGAATCACTCCCTTAGACGACTCGTTCTTCCCGAGTCACATTAAAGATTCGTTCAAAACGAACGAATCGTTCAAGAACGACCCAACACTACTGTTGAGAACGCGCTCAGGAAAGTTCGAACAATTCAGACATTGTGTGAATCAGAAGTAAAAAAACTATATAAATACTGTTCAGTTTCTTGCACAGACCGATCGTTTTGTGTCTTTACACATCAATGTATCGTCATGTGTTCAAAATCTTCGTTTGTGTTCTACTGAAGAAACAAAGTCACCTACATCTTGGATGCCCTGGGGGTAAGCAGATAAACATCAAATTTTCATTTTTGGGTGAACCATCCCTTTAACTAATGTTAACTGAACCATGTGGTAAAGTGTTACCAACAAAATCTAAATAGTTTGAAATAAACATCCTAAAAAATCTGAACCCCTTCTACAATCAAAAAAGAGAGGAAATGTTCAAATAAACACTAAAACCTGTTACCTGTTACCTGTCAGGAGACACTGGACTTCTTCAGGATAATAAAACCATTTTCAAAAACAGTTACAATCTGAGCATTATTTAAATCCAGTGTGACTATCAGAAAAAGCTGGAGAACATTTTGGAAGGCCTGAATAAAATGTGAATGCCATTAATTTAAAAAACAAATATCAAGACATACACTGCCATTTAAAAGTTTCGGGTCTGTTATATATGCATTTTTAATGTTTTTGAAAGAAGTCTCACCAGAAGTCTATACAGTAATATTGTGAACAATGATTACAATTTTAATATCCATTGTATTTTTTCTTTTTCAAATATATTTTAAAATGTAATCTATTCCTGTGATGGTAAAGCTGAATTTTCAGCAGCCATTACTTCAGGCTTCAGTGTCACATGAGTTTTTGAGTAATCATTCTAATATGCTGATTTGCTGCTCAAGTAACCAAAGAATATAATATACATTTATATTGAATATAAAATTTAAGGGACAGCATTTATTTGAAATTTCATTTAAAAGACATTATAAATGTTTCTACAGTCACTTTTCATATATTTATGCATCCTTGCTGAATAAAAGTATTACTTTCTTTTTGTTTGTTTTTCAAATAAAAATCTTACTGACCCCAAATCTTTGAGCAGTAGTATATTAAAAAAACATTCATACTTCAATTAATGGGTGCATACAAATATAGGGATAAATTATAATAATCAAGCAAAAATATTGGGTAGAGCACTACTGTGTGTTTATGCTGAAATGAACAAAACTCAGAACAGATTCCTGTGCAGCCATACATCACCTGTCATGCACTACACACATTATTCCTAAATGTAAATCTCAACTGGATGTAAACTGCATTCAAAGTACATACACTTAGCAGCTTTTAACAAAAATATTTGGAGATTAATAATTAAAAATGCCATTCAAACATCCAAGTTAAAAACTGAAATGTGATTTTCCAAATGCAACAGCCAACCACTGTCAGTGAATATGGAAAAGGTAAAGGGAAGGACAAGTAGGGATCTAAACAAATTCTACATACACCTAAGCTAGTTTTGATGCACACAGTACACGGTTCTATACAATTAACAAAATGCAGTCACATTCTTAGCAGTCTGATCTGCCATGGCACGGATCACATGCTAGAAATTACCTGTATTTTTTAGCCTGACTTTTTGTAGTTGTATATGTAGCTAAGAAGAAGTAACAGAGAGTTAAAATCGTATGATTAAGTTAAAATTTTTTCTGAGCAAATATCATTAAATCATCTATCTGGATGATCGTTTCATGCTATTATTATTTATTTTCCTCTACCTATTTTCTGTCTTTCGTCTGTTTGAGTTGTTTGCTTGTTTTCTGCAATGAAGAAGATGGTCCAGAATTGGAGGATGGATGGCTTATGTTACTTGCTCAGTCATTTGTGTGTATTAAAAAGAATCGGGAAAAACTCACCTTGTGACCGGAGATCTGCAGACTCTCTCAGGTTCGTCTGTGACCCTCAAAAGGAAGACAAAGGTTCATGTTAGGAATCAACCAGCCAATAGAGCGACAATTATTCTTCATCCTCCACAAACAGTTCACATCTAACACCACATACTTGCACTGTTACATTGACGTCACCTTCAGCAATCCACAATAATCACCACTGACAACAAAAGAAAGTGACGACAGTGATGGATTTACAGGGTAGGATTATGTATTAAATATATTAATTACGTTTTTCAGATGTCACCACGTATTGTTTAATGTCAGTGTAACACAAATTAAAGAAACATTCACAACTGTATCCTTAAAAACTAATAAAAAATGTAATCTATATAAATGTATTTCTTGCGTGTCTGGTAATATCCTTTTAAGTTTATTAATCTACTATTCTACATGAGACGTTAGAACAATATTAGTAGTTATTAATATAGCTTTAAACAAAGAAAGTGCTAGTTGACTGATGTCCACATGAGGCCGCTATGGATCAAGGCTGCTTTTATGAGCGCTTGTGAAACTTTCCATTCACATGATGTAGCCAGTGGATTCCCTCTTAAAGGGACAGTACAGGGGCCTCTTGCTTAAACATTACAGTGAAAATGGAGGGCTCTATGTTGGGTGTAAATAAACCATATCTGGACAGAAAAATTACATGGTAAGCAAGGGAGGCAAATGAGCTTGGCCAACGGTGAGTGGGATTTGGCATGAGAGGATGAAATACATGTTACATAACTAATCTGGGTTTAAAGGAGAGCGGAAACCCCTGCTCTGCTTGCCTTGTCCAAAATTAGGCTTTTGTGATACAGTCTAGATGAAATTGTTTTAAATGGCTGTTTCTGTATTTCTTTATTGTATTAATTCCCTATAATCACTAGAAACCGGATAAAGGCATACAGTTTTCCTCGGACCAAGCTAAGTGCCATTCCTGTGAATGAGTAAAAGGTGAGAGTAATGCATAAATGAGTTCATGAAAAAAGTAGTACATGGATGGTGCTGGTGTAAAAGGCCCCTTGAGCAAATACAAATACAACGCTTTTTCAAATATTTAAATATCTGCAGAAATTAAGTTTTACAATATCCATTCACAATAACCAAAATAATGTTTGTTCCCCCAAAAAATAAATTTTCTGTCACCCTCATGTTGTTTCAAACATAATTCTTTTCTTCTTATCACAAGCAAAATATTTAGCAAAATACGCAAATTGGGACTGTCATGTTGTAGAAATTATAAATAAACACCTGTAAAATCAGTCCTTATGACTTGTATGCAAGTCTTCCTCTTCGCTGTCACTCTAAAAACTTATTTGATTCATATATGTGTGGCAAGACCTTAACCGACACGTCTTGATATACCATATTCGAAATAAATGCAATTAAAGAGTCACAGCAAAGTGGAAGATATTCAGCGAATAACACTTTAAGCAAATTGTATGATTTCAGAAGACTTAAAATAGAGCGTAGCTGTTCCTGTGCACTTTTTCAGTGTCCTTGGTTCTGAAAATGTTTTTCCATTTACTTTTTCCCATATAGGGACTTTTAAAGTCTTCATTAAAAAAAGAATTACACAACATCAATTAAAGGGATAGTTCACCTGAAAATGAAAATTCTGTCATTAATTACTCACCCTAATGTCGTTCCAAACCTGTAAGACCTTTGTTCATCTTCGGAGCACAAATTAAGATATTTATAATGAAATCCGAGAGCTTTCTGACCCTGCATAGACAGCAACGCAACTACCACGTTCAAGGCCAAGAAAGTAGTAAGGACATCGTTAAAATAGTCCATGTGACCGTAATTTTATAAAGCTACGAGAATACTTTTTGTGTGAAAAGAAAATGAAAATAAGTTTATTCATCACTTTCTTCTCTTCTGTGTCAGTCTTTGACATGTGTTCAGGTCAGAGTACCACAATGCATACGTGTGATGCTACTGACGCAGGAGCGGCCGTTCTGACGTATAACTTGTATATGCACTGAGCCTTGTTTACAAGCAGAGGAAGACTCACGCTGTACATAAAACAGCCTTTGTAACCTGTCTGAAAATTTTGACAGAGAGGATGACTTGCAATTTTTTGCCCAGCCTTTCTTATTGGAACCAGAATATAGAGATGATTAACTGTGAGATGGTCATTCTATGTCAGAGCGCCGGGTCCTGCGTCAGCATGAACGTGCATCGAAGATTGACATGGAATAAATTGTTGAATAAAATCGTTATTTTTGTTTTCTTTGCACACAAAAAGTATTCTCTTAGCTTCATAAAATTACGGTTGAACCACTGATGTCACATGGTCTATTTTAACGATGTCCTTACCTCCTTTCTGGGCCTTGAACGTGTCAGTTGCATTGCTCTCTATGGAGGGCCAGAAAGCTCTCGGATTTCCTCAAAAATATCTTAATTTGTGTTCGAACAGAACGAAGGTCTTGCAGGTTTGAAACGACATGACGGTAAGTAATTAATTACAGAATTTTCATTTTTGGGTGAACTAACCCTTTAAAATCGACCAGCTACGAGGTGAATCATAATGTTACAAAGATTTATTTCAAGCAAAGAGAAGAGAAGTGCACAAGAAGACAAAGGGACAAGAATGTCTACTTAGGGAGATTGAGGATTATGTCATTCACAACTCAATTCAAGTTTATTTGTATAGTGCTTTTCACGATGCAAATCGTTGCAAACCAGCTTTAAAGAAAAGTCTCTACATTATATTTAGTAATAGCTTATCAGTGGTGACTGTCTCAAGTTGATGTCCATATGGCAGAAATGTACGGTAAAAATCAAGCAGTTAATGTCATGTAATGAAAAATCTGGTAGTTTTGTATGTTCTTCATGGGAGTGTGTAAATGCTGAAGAGTTCTTTTGGTGCAATTTGCAGAGACTCTCAGTTTGGTGGAGATTTCTTTGCAGAATCATAGGTAATGCGTTTTTTTTTAAATCAGGAATTCTGCTGTTAAACCTAAATATTTAAAAAATAAGTTAAATAATGCAGAATGATGGCATCAGCAGAAGCATAATATCGATTAACAACCTTGTAGCTCACAGTAGGTCTGTCTTGAAAGGTTTAGAAGTTATGGTTCAAAGCAATATCTCTATGGAGAAAATGAAAGGGATTTTAACTTCTGAAACCACACTTTTGCACTCTACATAGCATATGAGTCATATGACACATTTTTTGGAGCTTGGTATGTCACATGTATTCCAGAAGAAAGAAAACCATACAGGTTTGGAATGACATGAGGGTGAGTATGATGACTATCCAAAATGTTAAAAAATTTTGAGCAAATTATCCCTTTAAAACGCAACAAAATAATATGTGTACAAGCTCAAGGAGGCGCTCTGACACCCAGCGCCAACACATGTGCCAAAGAGAGCGGTGAGACTGTGAGTATTTTGACAGACTGAGAGATGGAGAAAGGCCACAAACAGGAAGAAAACTTACTAACTGTTTTTGATCCCTGTGGCAGAGTGCAGCCCGAGACTGACTTGTTTGAGCTCTGGCGCTTTGAGGGGTCAAGATTGACCCTAGTTGATGAAGGGAAGGAAAAAGGACAATGAAGAGAAGGACAGAAAGAAGAAGGGGAACAGGAAGATCAAGAGAGAAATAAGATTGCAGCAAGGAAAAAAAAAGCAACGAAACAAATAAACAAAATAGAAACACTGAGCATCCAACAATTGCCAAGACCAAGAGATAGAGGGACACGAGGGGGAGCATGTGCCTGAAGCTGTCGGTTAATAACAGAGGAGGCTTGAGGAAGAGATAATGCAGAAAGTACATATGCAAACTTGTGCAGAAAAAAGGACTTTATCCATTGATGTCACCCTAGATAGGTTAATCTAATCGGGAAGTTTCTTTTAAGAGATGGAAGTGTTGCACTAATCTAATAAAGAGCTTCTAGTTGTGCATCCCTGCAAAAGTCCTTCTTTCTGGCTTTCTGCCCAGAGAGGCACATAAACAATTTCACTGAGGATGCTGAAGAGCAATGCGCCCCATCAGCGTTCCTACACGCTACTGAACATCTCAATTACATTACGGACTCCAAAAGCTCCCATATCTAACTCCATTACCTCCTCAGATTCCACAGGACAATGGGCACCAAACCAAATGAAAGATGACTTTGTAAACTGATTGGCTCCAGCAGTGGAGCCTCTGTCATTTTGATATTATGCAGCTAATGGGCCGGTCACGTCAAAAACGATAACTATAATAATAACTATAAAGTTATAAAAATGTTCTTCTAATTCAGAGAGAATAGAGAGACAGAGGAATGATATCATTAGAAACACTTTAAGAACGTTTTTTTCTAGCTGATGAACGATAAAAACTCACACAGCCAATCAGAATCCACCTGACTTAAAGATAAACAAAATGTTATTGTCCGTTTGTATGGACACAAATATAGTTTTTATAATTATTGTCCGTTGGTGTAGATGCTAATTTAGTTACTATAGTTATACTTCTGTTGGTGTGGATGCTGTTGTTTTTGCCTTTTCATGTCTATTCATGACTTTATTTTTAAAGACTGAGTCCTGGTGTCCTCTATAGAGAACATTAAGATTATTTTTCAAAAATGTATTTTTTCTTCATTTTTTTCTTATGCTCTAAACAATGTAATGACACGAAATTTAATTTTTTCCCCCCTGGTAGTCAGGAGGATATAGTAATCATTATAGTTATTGTCTGTTGGTATGGTAATTCTCATTATATTTATCTTCTGTTGGTGTAGACACTAATATTATGATCGTTAGAGTTATTGTCTGTTGGTGTGGACATTAATGTAGTTATCATTATAGTCACCGTCCATTGCTGTGGACATTAATATATTGTTCATTGGTGTGGATGTTAATATAGATATCATTATAGTTATGTTTATAGTTATCATCCACTGGTGTGGATGCTAATAAAGTAATTTTTTATAGTTATCTTTATATTTATGGTTCTTGGGATGGATGCTAATATAGTTATTGTTAATAGTTATATTTATAGTTATTGTCCATTGGTGTGGACATTAATATAGTTATGCCATGACAACTATATAATATACATGGGCAATGTTAATGTGTTTGGTCTTGGCAGAATAGATCTGCTGCAGCAGATTAAGTACAGAGACTTGCAACTGTCAATACATGCTGCTGTATGTAATAAATACTGCTGAACCACATATAACACATATAAAATAACCCCCATATATAACATACATGAAATTACCCTGTAGTAGATCTATACAGGTGGAGCTGGGGAAGGTGGAGGGTTTCTGAACCGCACTGCAACTGCTACACCAAGCGCTAGCCAAGTATTTGAATGTTGTGCAGCAAGCTCATTGGCTGCTGATGTGAAAAGAAACCACTCAGCTGCACAATGTGATTATATCAGATTGAGTTAGAACCTATCAGCCTGCGCCATCTAGAGTTTCATGACAGAACTTTGCATTAATCGTTATAGTTATGTTTATAGTTATCGTTCTTCAGTGTGAACAGGCCATAAAAACATCCTCAGACAGCACAATGCTAACTCTAATAGGTGGAATATTTGGAAAGAGCGAACTGATGGTGTGGAACTTGATTTATTTGGATCTATTTTTATCTATAATATTCTTAGTCATTATGGTTTACAAGATGAAACCGTCGCTCTCTTCTTACCTGCGGGTAAGTTTTGAGGTCAGCTTAGTGAACAGGTTTGTGGTGGCACGGCTACGGGAGTGGGGAAGAGGACTGGCTTCGTGGGAGAGGGTGGGTGAGGTGGGGGGTGCATGGGTGGGAGGCCGGTGGTCCCGGAGCTGGCCCCCGTGGAAGGTGCTGCGGATGGTAGAGCCCCTCGTCAACCGAGAACGCTCGGAAGATGTGGAGCTGGAGGCCCCGGCTCCAGAAATGCTGTGGGTGGACGGGGAGGCTGGAGGTAATCGATGTGACAAGGAGCTGAGGAAAGAGATCAAGAAAACATGGATGGAAATTAAATTCCCCTTGAACTGAAGTTGGGTGTGACTCGTCCACCATTACTTTTGCTATGGACATGAATGATGCCCACCCAGAACAACCATTGTAGGAACAACCAACCAGAACATTATGGTAGCAAGTTTTGCATGGGCAAACGTGCAAAAATGCATGTGAAAATGCAAAAATCTAGCTTTAAATAAAGCTGACAGTGCAGTGATACAGTATGTCATTAATCCTGCTTATTAGCAGTCATCGTAGCTCTAACTGGAGGTTACTTTGATAGCAGAACTTTAATCTATAAGACAAAGTCCATAACGAAACACAGTAACAGCTCTGTAGCGAAACAATTAGACCAATATCAGATCTCGAGGCTCAGAGAGGCAGCTCGTTGGGTTTAGTTGAGCGTAAATGTGAGGCAGGATGCTGAGTCACTAAGGCATGAGCTCTCTTGTGTTTTTATTCCCATCTCAGAAACAGCCACTTAAGGCAAATTAAAACTGAACCCTTAGCGGAAAAAAGCTTGCACACGACTGCCCATCTGAATGCTGGAGACAGAGATATGCAGAGAATGGAGAAGGTTAGAGCGCTCTCTTTATTTTCTGTTTATTAAACTAATCTGAACCAGGGAAACAGGAGAGAAAGTCAAACGACAAAGAAAAATGATGACCCACAATGCTACTGATATTACTAAGGTGTTCAAAGTGGTGGTTAGCAGCTTTGGGTGGTTACCGGGGTGTTGTTACCAAGGACTAGGGATGTAACGATGCACCCAGAGCCGGTTGAAAATTTATACATATATGAGACAATTTAAATCGGTTGAGATGTTAAACGAATCGCGATACAATGGGGAGTAGGAGTTTATAGGAGTGTATCTCTAAGGGAACTGACTGTCTTTAGAAAAGTTTAGATGGTATTTTCTTTTTATCTTGCCTCTGTATATAATGCATATTAAAGTAGTGTTCATAAGAACAGTGCTGCTTTGTTTACAGCGGCAACCTAGGAAATGCTGTATAGCTGCTGGTCCATAAGCGCCACCTGCTGTCAGAGAGTGAATTTGCATCTCATTCAGCTCGTCTACTGTTGTTGTTTCATGCAGATATGTTTTATGTAGTATAGTTTTACAAAACTAAAGTCAGACCATTCTGTTTTTGTTTCAAATTTTGAAATTATACAATCTAATTTAGATAAAAAATGCTCATGCTGCATGTTTGCAGCATCTTTATTTGGATAGTGATTAAAATCCAGTGGTTGCCTCAAATTTTAAATGGAAAGAGCAGAGGCAAAACCTGTTTATATGAAGAGATTTCTTTTATTTGTGTTATTTATATATTTGATTTGGGTTTTGTTTTAAAATTTCAAATTAGTTTTGATATTTGACAAAATTGACAAGAAATGCGAAGCATTTTTTCCAATCAATAATAAAAGAACACCTTTTCATTTATAATTTTTCTTAAATTTAATTTTGTTAAAAAAATTGTGAGAAAATCGTATCATGAAATTAGTATGGAGACTCATATCGCATGAGTTGACTGAATCGTTACATCCCTACCAAGGACATCCCTACCTTGAACACTGTTGGAATCACTTAGACAAGCAGTAGCATACCTCTCCTTTTGATGAGCAATAGGAATAGGGATGCTTTCCATAGCAACCAGCACTACTAATGTCTCAGTTCAGATGGGTTCACAACGCAAACGTGTCGCTCTTGGCACCAGACTGCCTCTGTCCCCTCTGTCTCACCAGGTTTTGACATAAATCTAACAGATCTCACATGCTGCCTCAGTCTGCCCACTGGCCCCGGGGCACTTCACTTAATGCTCTAAATAACCCTGTGCTGATGGACCTTACACACACACACACACACACACACACACACATACACATACACATACACATACACATACACATACACATACACACACACACAGAATTTCCTATATGAGAGTTTTACATATTAGCTTCCATTGGTCGGAAACTCTGCAGTCATTAATAGCAGTTCTGGGCAGAAAATTCATGTGATGAAGGGGCTTGAAACAGCTTGAGTGTATTCAGTGTGTATATGGGGTCCAAGAAATTTGAGACTAGTCTGGGATTTAAAATCTCAGAATTTATGTTTGAAGATTTTAAACCGTAAAATTAACAAATTCTATTGAATTATTCTACATTATTTCAAAGTCAAAAATCAAATATGCAAATTTGTCACTAATATTCATCTTAAAATATTAATATCAATTCAGTTTTCTCTCAAATCATTACCCTGATAATACTGTTCGCAATAAAAAATATTGTATTAAATATAAAAATGATTTTAGATTTCACTGTGTATTCGTCACATTCTGGTGATGGTGATTCTGCGTGTGTGGACACATGTACTGTACTAGTTGGGCTCGGGGGAGGGAGACTTCTTTAGGTCAACCAGTCAAGCAGCCTTGTGACCCAGACAATCCACGTGCCTCCTCTCATTCTCTTTAAAGGGGTCATTTGATGCAATTTAAATTTTTCCTTTCTCTTTGGAGTGTTACAAGCTCTTGGTGCATAAAGAAGATCTGTAAAGTTGCAAAGACTAAAGTCTCAAATCCAAAGAGATATTCTTTATAAAAGTTCAGAGTCAGCCACGCCTACCTAAAATGTCTCGTTTTAACACGCCCCCACATATCTACCGCACTATGTGGGAAGATTTGCATAACGCTGCCCAAATGTTCACGCAAAGAAAAAAGGCGTAACTTTTATTCTCGCTGTAGTATTGTTGACGCTGCAGCCATGTTGTGAAGACGCTGTGTGTTTCGTTGTATAATTGTTCATATATCTATTGAAATACTGATATTCTGGTCTATAACTCCTCCCGAACTTCCCTCTGCCCTGTATCTTGGTCTCTCATTGGCTGTAGGTCATCGCCGATGTGTTTTTCAGTCAGAACTCATTTCACACAGTGTGATTGTGAATCGCGACGTGTCTGTGATTCTCTCAGATCGTGTCTTTGATAATTCACACTGCGTGATTGTCACTCGCGTGAACGAGCACCGATTTGCCTCCGATGTTGGGCATTTGTCTGCGATTTCGCAAAACCTGTCGGCGAGTGAAAAATCGGGTTAATATCGTGCAGTGTGAACTCGGCATAAGCCGGGGCTTCGGCTCACGCTAGCCCGGCCTCAGCGCACTCTATCCCGGCCTCAGCGCACGCTAAGCCAGGGCCTCCGCTCACGCTAAGCCGGGGCCTCAGCTCACGCTAAGCCGGGGCCTCAGCTCACGCTAGCCCGGCCTCAGCTCACTCTATCCCGGCCTCAGCGCACGCGAGGGGTTGCACAGACTTATCGACTAGTCGACTGGTCGACTTCAATGCTCTGCCATGACGCTTTAAGCTTGACGTCGACTAGTCGCTGGTCCTATAGAGGGCGCAACAGGATAAGAAATCTTTGAAGGACTTCCACATTTACTCTCTGTTTCCAAACAGTTCAAATGACAAATAAATGCATACTCTGAAAGCGCTCCACAAGACATGTGTGATTATATTACTGGATGCTCGAAATTGAACAGGAGAATGCACGTTTTAAACAGCTTATTGTACAGGTAAGTTAATCGCCGTTCTAATCTAATGCACTGCTGCACTGTAACGCACACACATAGGCTACAGACAGTAGCAGGTACATCACGCGCAGATCGCGAGCACAGAGTCATTCAGCACAGAAATGTATTGTCAACACTGTTCTGTGATTTCTCAATAAAATAGATTAGAAACTGAAAAGTTCAAGCATATATTTCTTAACTAAATTCCACAGCTTCACTACTAGTAGAGAGACGCTGCCAGGTAGAATTAATTCACACACGCAATCGCTGTCTCACTAATGCATTCATATGAATGTAATCTTTACTGTGCTACTTTATCTGTATCTGATTTAGAATGAGCAGAAATCTGTGAGACATATAACGACCCAAAGACAAAAGAACTGTTAAAAAAGCTGTTATAGGAGCAACAGCCATGTGGGCAGCGCTGTGTCATATGCCATAGCTGTGCACAAGGTGTTTATCACAGCTCCAGACTTATTTGTTCATTAATGACGTCATCAGCGACTAGTCGACTTCGACTCGACTTTCATCACAT